ATCCCTAAGGGTGTAATTAGGACAGTGTTTAGTCTAATCCATTGTCAAGACAGTGCCTGCTCTCTTCCAGTCTAACTGCGGTCTCAGGGGCTTGCACTTTTTGTTGTTAGTCATACGGGTTGAACTCAAGGCTTGAGTGATATCCCTGAGCTTTTTCACTCAGGGCTAGCTCTCTACCACTTTGAGCCACAACACCACTTCCAGTATTCTGCTGGTTAATTGAAGACAAGAATCTCATGGATGTGTCCTGCCCAGGCTGATTTCTTTTTTTTTTTTTGTCGGTCGTGGGGCTTGAACTCTGGGCCTGGGCGCTATCCCTCAGCTCTTCAGCTCAAGGCGAGCACTCTACCACTTGACCAAAACGCCACTTTCGGTTTTCTGGTGGTTTATTGGAGATAGGAGTCTCACGGTCTCTCCTGCCCGGGCTGGCTTTGAACCGTGATCCTCAGATCTCAGCCTCCTGAATAGCTAGGATTACAGGCGTGAGCCACCAGCGCCCGGCCCCAGGCTGATTTCTAATGGGGATCCTCGGATGTCAGCCTCCTGAGTGGCTAGGACTACAGGCATGAACCACCAGTGTCTGGAAAGAGCTTGTACTCTCGGCCTTTTTTTTATTTCCACACAGCTGCCACTTGAGACACACTTCTACTTCCAGAATAGGGAAATTTGACTAAATGAAGTTATTTCTTCATGGACATGTTAGCTGCTTTCTCAATTTGTTTTAGTTGTATTTTTTTTAATTAAAGTTAAAAAATATTACCTTTAAAATATAATTTGAACATAATATGTTAGATCTTTACATTTTTAATCCATAATATAGCACTTCATTTTTCAATGTTCTTTATAAATGAAGTACAACATAAGTTAAACATGACTTGGTTCCATGTAGAAATGATTACAACATGCAAGCTCTTAAATATATTCTAATTTTGACCTTCAAAAATTACATGAAGGGTATTTTTTTATTTTATGATAGCAGCCCATTGCCCAATATGGTAGGCTTATCATTTGTGTTTTTGGCCACACTGTCTGCTTTAAACTTATTTTCCATTATTCAATTAATCCATTATAGGATTTGAAAAGGCATCAGCATGTCTGGTAAGCAAAAAAAATAAGTAATGCTTATTCCATGGTACTCTCTGGACACCATGGAGAGAAGGTGTCAAATGGAGAGAAGATAGACACTGAAGGTTTTTTTAGAAGTTAGGTTAGTGCTATTGCTCAGGAGGATGACACACTTAATCAACATGCACTGATGACAGAGATGATTGTCTTATACCTAAACTTGGCATACAGAAAGGTAAAGCCTTGAAGACTTGATTTTTGACTATGCTCTACCAGAAAGACAGTGGAATGGGCAAAGGGGTAGTAATGAAGAAATGACAGAATGGGCATTGGAAAGGCTCTCCTTCATGTTGTGCATTCTTTTTTTTTTTAATTTCCTTTTTGGTTTGTTTTTGGGACTTGAACTCAGGGCCTGGGTGCTGTCCCCGAGCTTCTTTTGGTAGCGCTCTACCACTTGAGCCACAGTGCCACTTCCAGCTTCCAAATTGTGACCCTCAAATCTCAGCCTCCTGAGTAGTTAGGATTACAGGTGTGAGCCACCTGTGTTTGGCTTCATTAAAAAAAATATATATTCTTATTGTACTGGTTCTTGAGCTTGAACTCAGGCCTGCACACTGTCTCTTAGCTTTCTCTCTCAAAGCTGACACTTTACCAGTTGAGCTACCCCCTCTGCTTCTGGTCTTTTGCTGTTTAATTGGAGATATGATTCTTACAGACTTTTCTGCCTGGGCTGGTTTTGAACCTTAAATCTCAGATCTCAGCCTCCTGAGTAGCTAGCAGCACAAACATGAGCCACTGGTGCCATGGTTGTGTTTGAAGTGTTGAGAGAATATCACGTGAAAGCGAGATTTTCAAGTCTAGAGCATCTGAGCCAACTCTTCTTTGAGGGGACATCATCTTTATAGGAGTGGATTTTACATTGCCTTAAAAGTGTGGTGATGCCGGGCGCTGGTGGCTCATGCCTGTAATCCTAGCTACTCAGGAGGCTGAGATCTGAGGATCGCGGTTCAAAGCCAGCCCAGGAAAGGAAAGTCCTTGAGACTCCTATCTCCAATAAACCACCAGAAAACCGGAAGTGGCGCTGTAGCTCAAGTGGTAGAGCGCTTGCCTTGAGCTGAAGAGCTGAGGGACAGCGCCCAGACCCAGAGTTCAAGCCCCACGACCGACAAAAAAAAAAAAAAAAGTGTGGTGAACAGTTATTTGGGTAGTACCTGATTGATAAGCAAAGGGAAAGAACACATTATAGGAAATGTGATCTCTTTTTCATGCTTTAAAAGCTGGACCAACTGGACTCTCCATCCTCCTTAATTGGGCTATGGGTGAAGGACAAGCTTTGTACTTAGAAATCAGGCAGAAATAGGAAAAATACATGAATTATTAATTTTAAAGCCATACTAGCAGAAGTGGCAGGGTCCTGACTGACTGCAGGTCCTTGTTGCTATTCTGAGCTATCTGATCGGGGTTGGGGCGCACTGCGTGTATCAGTATCCCTCTGGGGCAGGTGCTGGTGTGTGTGTGTGGGGGGGGAGACAGGAGAATCTTCTTTTTTTTCGGGTTCAGGGCTTACTTCCTCGCCCCAGCAGGACATCGAGGCTCAGCCCCCCCCCCCACCATGGTGCTATATATTAATGCTCACCTGCGTAGCGCTGATCGCCCCCCCTCCCAGGTCCCTCTTCCCTAGTGTCCCCTGGCCCCCCCACTCCTCCAACCCCGCCTGGCAGGGCACGTGCTACCAAGGGCAGTTGAAACGGACTCCAACCGTCCCTCTGGTCCAGTAGGCGCGCGGGCCGGCGCGCGGGCGGGAGGGGCGCGATCCTCCGGGCGCGGGAGGCGCTGGGGGCGGCGGGCGCGGGCGCGGGCGCGGGCGGGCGGGCGCGGGCGGGCGCCGGTCAGGCTGCAGTGGGGCGGGAGTTGCCGCGGGCCGGCGCCATGCCAAGCAGCCGTTGTCGTTGAGGATGGGGAGCTCTCCCGGGGTGCATTTCTGGAAAAACGATCGCGGATACCGGGAAGTAGAAAAGGCAAGCTGCAAAAACCCGCTGAGTACAGCGAGAGATCCCGCCTTTGTGTGGGAAGATTAACGGGGCCACACTGCCTGTGTGCGGGCTGAATGGGTGTGTGAAATACCTGGAGACAAGGCGGGAGCGTGGGCAGAGCCACTGCGCTCTGGGATGTAACGTTTATATTATATATGAAAGATCTGCATCAGGGAAAGTTAGATCCTCGTTTCCTCTGGTGGGGGAACTGCGGGGACTCTTGGAGCAAAGGAAAATTTGAGGGTGGAGAAAACTGTCCCCCAGCTTTCTCTTCCTGGCTGGTCCAACTCTTCTCTCACCTTTTCTAAATCTACACTCTTCCTCTCCTTGTCACACCTCCTCCTGCAAACCCTGTATTTTGAAGATCATTACAAGTACATGAAAGTTGGAATGAAGACATTCATCGTTCCTAAACTATATTTGATTAAGTTGTGATGTCATGTTTAAGAAATATTTCCCCTTACATAGGTAGGCCACAGTGTTGGATCTTTCCAACGGACTGCTAATTTGGGTTGACATTTGCAAAACTGATCACTGAAGTTAGTGTATCTGACTCATCCAAAGATGGTTCACTTTATTTTACTTAACCTACATGTTTGCTGGAAGGATTTGTTGGAACTTGAACTTGGGATGAGCACTCCTAGTAAATGCACTACAAAGGAGGTAGAATTCTTGTGGGTGAAACATCTTTTAATCCAAGAGTTGACTATCAAGCATTTTGATAAATATCATTTTAAGATGAAGTTAATCCTGTGCAACAGTTTCCCATAATTTTTTGTTATGGGAAAGGAGTCAAAGATTGGGTCTTAGCTTTGATACCTTTCTCCCCCTTTGATAATCAAGGAAAGCAATGGAGTGAGCTTGAGTGTCTTTTGAGTATCTAGAACCCTTAGCTAGACAAAGGCATTTTAAATCATGCATGCTGTGTTAGTCTCAAATGGCGGTGGGTGGGGTGGGTGGCAAGGGAAAATCTTGTTGCCAACATGGCCCCTTATGGGAGTTGGGATGGCAGCTAAGGCTGTTCTGGCCTTCTGCCACCTCTCCTTACCCCCCCCTGCCCCGCCTCCTTTTTTGGGTCGTTTTTGGGACTTGAACTCAGGGCCTGGGTGCTGTCCCCGAGCTCTTTTGCTCAAAGCTAGTGCTTTTTGGGTCACAGCGCCACTTCCGGTGTTTGAGTCTGGCTGGCTTTGAACCGGGATCCTCAGATCTCAGCCTCCTGATTCCAGGCGTGAGCCAGCGGCGTCCGGCCTCATCCGGCTTGGCCCGCCGGGCCTCCCTCCGGGCCGCCGGCTCTGACCTGCTGCTGCTGCTGCGCACCCGGCCGTGCACACCAGATGACGGCCGAGGACCGACGGGCCGAACCCTAGCGGCTGTCGGGGGCGCTTGGAGGAGGAGGCAAAGACAACGGCCTCGGGGAACCCAGCACCTGTGTTTGTGGCTAGGCAGAGAAAGGTGAAGTCCCAGAGCCCGCCTCTCGGCCCGCCACCAGCCCGCTGGCCTCCCGCCGGCCCGGCAGTCCCGGTGGCTGGCCCGGGCCCAGGCCCGCCACGGCCCGTGGCGAAGTTTGGCGAAGCAGCGCGCGCCTCGGACCGGGTGAGGCGGGCGGGGCGGGGCCGCGGACCGGGCGGGGGCGGGGCGGGCGAGGCGCTCCGGGGAAAGCCCGCCCCGGCTTGACGTCACCAGAGCGCTGGCCAATGACAAGCCGCCGGGGGAATTCCCGCGTTGGGGGCCGCCCCGCGGGCTTTTTAAAGGGTACCCTGGGGAATTGGCTCCGGGGAGAGCCGCGGGGGCCGCGGAGACGCGACGGTCCCCGAGGACGGGACTCCAGGGGTTGACCGTCGGTGCTAAAGGCTTAGCCCTGACGGGGACCAGAAGCACCCAGCGGAGACAGGGCCGGCGGAGATGGAGTGGAAGCTGGAGCGCTCCGCCCCGCGGAGGGTCCGCACGGAGGAAGCCATCCTGTGGGTCAGTCACCACCTGCGCCTTCCTCGTCTGACCCTTGTTGACCCGGGCTTCCCGCGAAAGGCGCCGTTTGCAGCACCCGTTTAGGACCAGCAGGTGGCACCAAACGACAACCTGGTCTTCGGTGTGTGTCGGGCCTGGGGTTTGAACCCAGGGCCTTGGCGCTGCCCCGGCTCAAGGCTAGCGTTCTGCCACTAGAGCCACAGCTCCATCTCCAGCTTTGTGGCTGGTTATTTGGAGATGAGGCTCAGGGACTTCCCTGCCCAGGCTGGCTTCGAGCTGCCATGCTCGGATCTCAGCCTCCCGAGGAGCTACGATCACAGGCTCCGTGGATCACAGGCTCCGCGGCTCGTTGTTTCAAAGGAGGTGAAAGTGGTCGGGCTCGTTGTTTCAAAGGAGGTGAAAGTGGTCGGACAAGGCTCTTGAGGGAAAAATGCCCGATGGTTTCCATAAACAGTCTCTCTCAATGTGTTATTTGTCTTTTCAAAGGAGAATGTCATGAAGGTGTTCTCCAAAGACCTGAAGCAGCAGAGAGCCCGCGGTCCCCGCAAGGTGAGTGTGCAGGACGTGCTCTGGCTTTCCGTCTTCGTTCTGGCCTTTTGCTAAAGAGAGCATTTGGAGGAAGTCTGAATTGGTCGGAAAATAGAATTAAAAGAAGTCAATGGTGGGGGAGAGGGAGGAGTTGGGGAGGTGGGAGGGAAAGGATGGTCGGGGAAAAACAAAGGAGGAGGTAACAATGCTCGATAGGAAATGGACTGATTACCTTACTCAAGTAACTAACCCCTCTGCACAGTATTTCTACAATAAAAAACAAGTCAGTATGTGTAAGCACAGAATCGAATTATGTACTAAACAAATTTAAGAAGCTGAGGACTCTCACAAGTAATAGTAATCATTTGTATGTGAATAGTGTTTTCTAGTTTCTGTCAAGAGCATGGGTCATTTGTCTCAAGGATGGGTCAGGTCGGCAGCGCGTTGCTAGCTGTCTGCTAAAATGTCTCCCGAGAGTTGCTGGTTTGCCTTGACTCTATTGTACACAGTGGCTTGCTTCCCGGGAGAAAAAGAAAATGGTGCCATCTTATGGACAATAGAAGTGGCATAACCCAAGGTTAAACTTGATCCAACTGAATACTTTTCCCAATGAAAGACTAAGCCCCAAGGCAGTACTTTTTTTTTTTTTTGGTAGTCAGGGTAAATTGAACACATTTAAACTATTACCAGAAAACAGCATTTGTACGACATACATCTGTCATAATCATTCTCTTTGGTTCACCTACCTTTAGTCTTTTAGGTTCTTGTTTCAAACTCATCACTGGTTTTTAGATTTTTCTAGATCATGTATATTCTACAATATATATAAATGGTGACATACCGAATTGAATGTATAGTGGAATGCAACGACTAAGGTCATATACTGGGGAAAAATAATTATACTTAAGCCTTTTCTTTTTTGGTCGTGGGGCTTGCTTGAACTCAGGGCCTAGGAGTTGTCCTTGAGCTTTTCCTTCCTTTCTTCCTTCCTTTCTTTCTTTCCTTCTTCTTTCTTTCTTTCCTTCCTTCCTCCTTCCTTCCTTCCTTCCTTCCCTCTCTATCTCTCTCTCTCTTTCTTTCTTCTTTCTCTCTCTTTCTTTGTCCTTGAGCGTTTCTGCTCAAGGCTAGCTGCACTATCACTTTGAGCCACTTCAAGTTATGGTTAATTGGAGATAAGAATCTCATGGACTTTCCAGCCTAGTCTGGCTTTGAACATCCTTGGATCTCAGCCTCCTGAGTAGCTAGGATTGCAAGCATGAGCCACCAGCACCCCACTTATACTTAAGCCTTTAAACTATTTAAATATTGATTTTTCTATAGATCTTGTGCATAGTTTATTTATTACCATGACTCCTAGGTATTATGCTTCCTAAAACAGACAATTGACCTTTGTGTCAATAAATAGAGGTAATTTGAAGAACTATAGTTATAGAACTACAGCAGTGTAAGTTTATTATTATTTAAACTTTTAATTCAGAAAATCTAAGTTTTTGTAAGTATGCTAGAAGTTTATTTTTTTCCCAAATTTTTACATTTTGTGAATACTGACTTTATATCTTGTAGTTTTTTTTTTTTTTTTTTTTGGTTGGTCATGGGGCTTGAACTCTGGGCTGGGTACTGTCCCTCAGCTCTTCAGCTCAAGACAAGCACTCTACCATTTGAGCTACAGTGCCACTTCTGGTTTTCTGGTGGTTTCCTGCCTGGGCTAGCTTTGAATAGTGATCCTCAGATCTCAGCCTCCTGAGTAGCTAGGATTACAGGCCTGAGCCACTGGCACCCAGCTTATATCTTGTAGTTTTGTGGAAACAAGTTTGCCTATAAATGTTCTATAATGTGCCCATCAAGATTACAGTTTGGCCACTGGGTTCCACATTTCAAACTTAGCTTGAGAACTTCATGGCCATGGAAGGCAGCAATGACCCGAGTCAGGTAGGCAGTGTGTTGTTAGCTGGCTGCTTTGGACCAAGTCAGCAGCCACAACGACCCTGCCACTTGCTTCTGGGTAAATTCCTCTTGTGATTGGAGTGCACTGACTATCTGTGTGTGATGGGTTGGCAGTGTATTGTTAGCTGGTTGAATATGTGAATGGCATCAGCTAACATGCACCTGCTATCTCATTGCATATACAACGGACACCAGAGTATAATCAAATATAAAGTGAGTGTATATCTGAAGGTGTGTGCACATGTGCATGTGTATTTTCTATGAGGCAGAGCACTATTTATCATGACAGTTATTATTGCTATTGGATTACTTAGAGAACAAACAGACAGCTTTACAATGAAGAAAAGGGCACTATGATTAATTAATTAAAAATGTAAGTGATATTTTCAGTCTTGCTTAGACAGAGCCATTGTGAAATTTTATAATTTTTTTAAAAATAAGATTTAGAATATGGTGACAATTTGGAATAGAAGCCTCAAAGTTTCCCCCAAGTTTTCAACTAAGTTTTTGGTATTCTTTCTGGATCCTCAGTTGGGCAGTAGAGTGGAGCCCTGTGATCATGCATGTACTGCAGGTGAAGGGAAGATTGAGGTAACTTTTAAGCTTAGTTGACTAAAACATTTTCACTTGAAATATCAAGAAAATTAAGGATTTTTTTTGGGAGGGGGGGTGAGGAATGGTTTGAATTGTTTGAAAGATTTGACTCAGTTTTTCATGTTCTGTAAAAGTATTGTGTCTTTTTCGTGGTCCTGAACTCTGGGCCTGGGAGCTGTCACTCAGTTCTTCAGCTCAAGGCTAGCGCTCTACCACTTGAGCCACAGCACCACTTCCGGCTTTTTTCTTTTTGCTTATGTGGTGCTGAGGAATCGAACCCAGGGCCTCATGTATGCAAGGCAAGCGCTCTACCACTGAGCCACCTTCCCAGCCCCTGTGTCTTGATTTATACAGTAGAAGTTTACAATTAGCTTGTGCAGTAGTCTGACCATAAATGCTTAAATATTTCTCATTCAATTAGAGGACATTTTGCTCAGGGAGCAGGGTGGGAAGTGTTGAGTCACATGTGGACATTTGCCACAAATTAGTAGAACTTACTTGGATTGTCTGGTATGTTAATTCTTCCCTGAATGGGAACTACATCATACTCTAGTGGAGCATAAGTAAAATAATTTTTATGTGTATCTTCCTTAAATTTAGACATATTTCTAAAACATAAACAGCACCTATAGCTTGTTTTTTTGGGTATATTTTATTACTTTCAAATTACCCAGTATTTCTCTTATTTTTAGAGCCTTTGTGTTGAAGAATTCTTCCTATGTAAATACCGTTTCATCTTTTTTTTACAGGTTAAATTTCATATGTTATTTTTAATAGTTGCTGACCTGTCAATATAAATAAAACCTAGTAAATTTAGAAGGCTTGTTTTTCTGTTTTAATTTTTAAAATATTAAACAGCAAGACACAAAGTGATATTTGCACTCACCAAACAGAAAATGTGTATGTATGTATATATATGCAGAGTATGTATATATATGTAGAATGTATATAAAATATACATTCTATATACAAGGCTAGATGCAAGGCTGATTTCACTGTTGATATTCTATTTATGGAGTTTGAGGTGCTTCTAGAAAGATCACAGAGAAGAGAGAGAGGTTGAAAATGTTGAATGTTGAAGTCTTTCTTTTTGTTTTTTTTTTAGTGCCAGTCCTGGTCTTGAACTTAAGGCCTGAATAGTGTACCTGAGTTTTTGTGCTCAAGGCTAGCACTCCACCACTTTGAGCCATAGCTCCATTTCCAGCTTTTTGGTGGTTAACTGGAGATGGATTTTCCTGCCTATGCTGGCTTTGAACTTTGGTTCTCAGATCTCAGCTTTTTGAGTAGTGAGGAGTAGTGAGCCACTGGCACATAGCTTTTTTGAAATATTATGATACCATTGGTAAATTACTATTTAGCATGACAGAGTAAACAGTAGAGACCAATTCTTCAATAAAGAAAAAATCCCAATAAAGTCCTGTGTACTAAACAAAGATAGAAGGATTTGAAATTATGCATTTCACATTTTTCAACATTTATAGTTTATTACATCAATGTAGCCATTTATAGTAAGTTGTTAAAAAATATCAGTCTCACAAAGTATTCTTGAAATCCACACAGTGTCATTTGGGTTCTGGCTTTTCTATAAAGTACAAGTGTAGAAAAGGCCAAGTTGAACAACAGAATGTTGTAGCACATTAGTGATTGTGTACCCAAACATTTTCAGTTTGGTCCGACGAAGGATTTAATGTATTGCATTTTGGTTCTTTGGCTATTTTTTTTTTTTTTGCCTTGGGTGACATCTGCATCCTGAACACATTCATTACCTGTGACTAGTAAGCTAGCATAAAAAATTCTCATTTAGTTGTCAAAGTATTCAATCTGAGGACAGTGCCACAGAGCCATGTGTCTGCTCTGAGGACTGTATCCCCTCCCCCCATGGCCTCTTCACAGATCCTCTTTCTTTTTTATTATGATTTGCCCAACCATTTGTGAGATGAGAGGCTTGATGGCGTCCACCGGCTCTTCTGGCCTCCAGAACTTCACAACTTGACCCTCAGGGTTGACCAGATACTTCCAGAAATTCCACTTCGGTTCCTTCTTTGAAGAGTCTAAAACGCCCAGAAAATATTTAATGAGCATAATTGTCTATCTTTTTTCAAGATTTTCATTTCTGTGAATATCTGCATGGTGACCACTTTAGAATCCAATAACATTGCTAGAATAGCAGCAGCAATGAAACCCCAAACAGAGCAGAGCACAGGTTTGGGTAGCAAGGTTTCAATTCACTTGGTGACCAGGGCCTTGAGCTAGAATCTTGAAATGAAACAAATCATGTATTTTAGGCTTGTGGATCCAAATTCTTCCTTCCCTCCCTCTTTCCCTCTTTTTTTTTTTGGTGTGTGTGCCATTTGTGTGGCTTGAACTCTGGGCCTGGGCACTGTCCCTCAGTTCTTCAGCTCAAGGCTAGCGCTTTACCACTTGAGCCACAGCGCCATATCTGATCTTCTGGTGGTTAATTGGAGACAAGTCTCACAGACATTCCTGCCTAGGCTGGCTTTGAAATCTCAGCCTACTGAGTAGCTAGGATTACAGGTGTGAGCCACCAGTGCCAGGCTCAGTTAATCTTTACAGGAGCCCTGGGAGGTGTTGCCCCATTTTACAGATGGGAATCACAAGCCTGGACTGAAAATGGTATAACTAGTGAGGCCGACCTCTGTGCTGTACTCTTGACCCCTGGACGCTCCTCCCCTCCCCATCTATGATCCGGGAATCTCTCCATTATCAGTACACCAATGATTACAAAAGGGAGCAGGGATTCGATCATAAAGACAAATACCCTATGAGCATTTCACAGCTTGAGGGCTGTGCTCTGGCTTTTCTTTCCTCAGTATACCCCAGAAATAAAACGGGATGAAGACTACACTGTTTTCTTTCATGGTGTTAGGCATTCTATCAACTACCCCTAGAAATTAAATGCAATGCTTCTTAGAAGATTCTGATTGTACACATATGTAGAATATTACAAAGCATTTTGTTGGTTTGATTGAAGCCTAATATTCCTGAGGCCATAGTTTCATCAAAGTGCAAATTAATTATATTGAAAACTCAGAAGATGCCATGTAAGTTAGATAAGATAACTATTAGCTATGGCAATGTATAAGTGTCTTTTACTTAAAAGTTAACATAATCCTTCAGAAAATCTTAGAAGTAGATCCTATTTTTTGGCTTGTCTTACAACTAAGGAAATGCACAGAGAAGGTAAGTCATGTGCCTGAAGCCACACAGCAAAAGCAATTGAGCAGAGCTTTGAGCCCAGAAAGTCTGAGACCAAAGTATGTACTATTACTATATCATATAATCTTTGTACTAATTAAACTTGGAGTCTGTGTGTGTGTGTGCGCGTGCGTGCGCTGCTATTGGGGCTTTGAGCTTATGGCCTGGTACTACCTCTTGACTTTTTTGCTTGGGGCAGTCACCCTACTACTTGAGCCACACTTTTACTTCTGTCTTTTTCCTGTCTAATGGGAAATAATCTCACAGACTTTCCTGCCCAGGCTTTGAGTGCAGATCCTCAGCTCTCACTCTCCTCAATAGCTAGAATTGCAGGCCTGAGGCACCAGCACCCTGCTGAAGCCTGAGAAGTCTTTTTATTTTATTTTTTTGGGTCCAGTCTTGGGGCCTGAACTCTGGGCCTGGGCGCTGTCCCTCAGCTCTTCAGCTCAAGGATAGCACTTTACCACTTGAGCCACAGCGCCACTTCCGGCTTTTTTCTTTTTGCTTATGTGGTGCTGAGGAATTGAATCCAGGGCCTCAGGCATGCAAGGCAAGCGCTCTACCACTGAGCCACGTTCCCAGCCCCCTGGGAAGTCTTAAGATCTATCTATCTATCGATCTATCGATCTATCGATCTATCTATCTATCTATCTATCTATCTATCTATCTATCTATCTATCTATCTATCTATCTAATCTATTGTCAGTTATGGGGCTTGAATTCTGGCCCTGGGCGCTGTCCCCGAGTTAATGTTCTACCACTTTGAGCCATAGCTCCACTACTGGATTTCAGAAAGTTGATTAGAGGTCAGAGTTTCATAGACTTTTTTTGCTTGGCCTAGCTTTGAACCACAGTACTCAGATCTCAGCCTCCTGAGTAGCTAGGATTAAGGTTACGAGCCACAGTGCCAGCTTCAAATTATATTATTTTGAATTTTGGCAAAACTCTAGTAAAGTGAGATAATCAACTTTAAGGATAATGTCTCAGGTAAGTGTAACATCAAATTGATCACAAAGATAGTTCAGTTGATAGTGTGCAACCATGAAAATTCATGAAATCTGCAGCTTTAAAATGGAAAGAGACTAGCCCATAAATGCTGGTTACGTGAGAGAAGAATTCTGTGAAAACAACCATGGGCTACACTAAAGTCTTCAGGATTTAATACCTCACAACTGAATTCTTTCACCATGGATTTTATAGACAAACCTTTACAAAGGATGAGAGTCTAGCTCTGATTAGCTTAATGAGACTTTCCCACTGAAATCTTTTAAAATAAATAGGGCAAGTGGTATTTAAATGAAGAGCAATTAAAACAGCAACAACAACCAATTGTGCTCAAGAGGCAAGGTAGATATTTACCAACAAGAAATCTGAATGCAGGCTCTGCTTCAGGTCCTAGAATCTTGATCTTGTGGAAGATGGGGAATGTTACTCCATAGTTTTTTCTGGCAAAAGATTCCACTTCCTGGCTCTTCCGGGGCTCTGCTTGCCCGAACTGATTGCATGGGAAAGCCAGGACGCTGAAGTGATAGGGCCCAAACTCTCGGTGCAGCTCCTTCAGCGCTAAGTAATTCCTGTCGGTGAGCTGGCAGTTACTAGCCACGTTGACGACTAGGGAAACCTCCCAGAAAAAGAGAGAGAAAAAAATCCAACCGGAAAGTGAAGCAGAAAATGTCAAGAAAATCCTGTAGGCAGTTAAACTAACTCCTAGGCCATTTTGGGAGCCTCTCATAGAGGCTTGTAGTTTTAGATAATATCCAACTTTACTGGAAACTAATCCAGATGTGTGAGTTAGTACTCCAGCCTAGATCTTTCTTGTGTGGTTAGGTTATAGAACTAACTTGTATTAATAACTGTCCCCGTATTAGCCACAAACATTTTCTAGAAACTTTAAAGTATTAATTCAGCTCAAAAGTTACAGCATTTTTGAGAAGAAAAACTTTTATTTTGAGAATAAGACAGTTTATCCATTAGATGTCTAATAAGCTCTGATAACTCATGTGATATATTAATAACATTCACAGCTAATTTATGAGCATGCAACTTCAAAACATTTTATTTTGTTAAGAGCATAAGCAGAGAGGTGGGAAACAATAGAAATGAAGACAGAAGATATAACTTACTTTGCCTTTAAACTTTTCCAGAGAAACCGTTCTTCCTTTGGTATCCTTCACTTCAAAGGCATAAAAACTGTTAATTTTAGGTTTTAGGAATTTTAGTTGTAGAAGAAATAACATCACTGTGCAGAGTATCATAGATAACAAAACTGCAAACATCTTAGCTTTGGGCCCGGAACATTTTAATGGGTGAGCGACCAGAGGCTCCATTTTGGATGTTTCTGGAGGGAGGCTCCCTCAGCAGGCTGGAATGAAAGGAGGAGCTGAAACTTGAAACCTTGCTTAGTTGAAAGGAAAACTCTGGATAGACAACTTTTACAGCTAAGAAATCCAAGGACCCTTCCCACAGGGCAGATTGGACAAAACTTCCCAGTTAAAGAAGGAACTCCACACAATTTAGATGTCTTTGTGTTATAATGGCAATTTTTCTCCCCAAGAAAAATGAATATTTTTGGTAGTTCCTTAACACCCTCCCTACGAAGATGCTCTTCCACCAGAAGATGGCGCTCTTGTAATTCGAAAACTTGAAATAGTCAGGGGCGTGTGTGTGTGTGTGTGTGTGTGTGTGTGTGTGTTTGTGTATGGCAGTGTGGGTATTTACTAAGAAAAGGGTAGAACTGGGTAGAAAACCGAGGAATAGTGTGGAGTAAGGATTAAATGTGATCTTGTAATGTGATGCATGGCTGGAGAGAAGTTTGTATTTTATGTATGGATTAAACACATTTCAGGCATTCAAGGAATTTCTACTAGAAAGAGCCATGAGATTGTGAAAGGCTATTTTATTTGCTGTTACTACTTGCAGTAGAGGTAAATAAGTTCCAGGGAGCATGGCAAGAATAGATAGAAAACAATGAAGGCATTAGCAGCCCTCTTCTATGGTGAATAGTTCCCTGTTTTGAATTTTTTTTTTTTAATCATGACACCTGGTAATATACACACTCTAGGGGTGGGAATGTGGCTTAGTGGTAGAGTGCTTGCCTAGCATGCATGGAGTCTTGGGTTCCTTTCCTCAGTACCACATAAACAGAAAAAAAAAATCAGAAGCCCCCGGGTGTGCTTTTCCTAGCACATTGCTGCTGTACAGAGAAATGTGCAGCCTTCATATATTCATATATTTATTCTAAAATAATCTTAGAACATACAGGATATGGAAGCAATAATGACAGGTTCCCAGAAGTTGAGACATGGTGACATTAAAATAGTCAGATAGGGCTGGGAAGGAGGCTCAGTGGTAGAGTGCTTGCCTTGCATGCCTGAGGCCCTGGGTTCGATTCCTCAGCACCACATGAGCAAAAAGAAAAAAGCCGGAAGTGGCACTGTGGCTCAAGTAGTAGAGTGCTAGCCTTGAGCTGAAGAGCTGAGGGACAGCGCCCAGTTCCAGAGTCAGGCCCCACGACCGGACCCCCCCCCCCCAAAAAAAGGGAAAAGCACAGCAATCTTTCAGTAGATAAAGACTTCCTAAAGGAGAAGAAAGGATTGATTAGTTGAAGCTTATGTCTGAGGAAAATTAGGGTATCAACAGTGGGAAAAGCCACCAACTGGTAATCTACTAACTTAGGCATTATATAAGACAGGAAGAAAGTACTAGTGAAATGGCCAGCCTCTTGCTAATTTCAAATCAACTAAGGAAATTTGAGAATACACATAAAATGGAAGGAATACAAGGCATCCAATAACTGAATGCTAAATAAATGACAATTTTTTAATAAAAAAAATCAGAAGTGGTACATAAACAAAGTCACTTATGCTCCTAAAATTTATATTGCATTCAGTCTTCTTTAGTATATTATTTCCTGCAGAACAATTACTTGAAATAGGAAGGTGTTAATAGCTCAGCTGAGATTACAGTAGTATGAATGGAACAATCAAAAACAGAGCTGACAACTTTTAGTTTCATAACCAAAACTATTTCACCTGCTTTAAACCATTTCTTTGAAAAAGGCAAAATATATTTATTTAGAGGAAGACTCTGAAGGTAGGAATGGTATAATACTATGATGGAGGTCTCATATTCATTAAAATGTAGTTTTATAAAATATCTCATTAAGGATTGAAAAGGACAAGGCATGGAGAACAATGACACACACTTGTCCTTGTGAGAAGAGGTTGTCTGGAAGGCAACACAGGATCTTCAGAGCAGCAAGCCAAGCTAAGAGAGGATGGAGTGTGATTGAAGATTTATTTGGCCAAATGTGATAGAAAGATGAACACTAAGGATGGTCTAGAGCCCCCTAGTGGCAGGGAGTGGTAATAAGAAATAGTAAATAACTACTGGAAAACCATCTTGATCAGCTTTGATTGAAGTTAACTTTTAACTGATTTAACACAACATAAACATTTTTTATATTTATGGGGCATTATGATGTTTCCACGAATGTATGCTGGTGTATAATATTCAAATCAGCCCACACATGTCTAAATCTTCAACATTGCTCACTTTTTTTTTTTTTTTTTGCCGGTCATGAGGCCTGAGCTCTGGGCCTGGACACTGTCCCTCAGCTCTTCAGCTCAAAGCTAGCGCTCTACCACTGGAGCCACAGAGCCACTTCCGGCTTTTTCTGTTTATGTGGTGCTGAGGAATCGAACCCAGGGCCTCATGCTTACGAGGCATGCACTCTACCACTGAGCTACCTTCCCAGCCCTGCTCACTTCTTTTTTTTTTTTTTTTTTTGGGTCCGGTCCTGGGCCTTAACTCTGGGCCTAGGCTCTGTCCCTCAGCTCTTCAGCTCAAGGCTAGTGCTCTACCACTTGAGCCACAGCGCCACTTCCGGCTTTTTTCTTTTTGCTGATGTGGTGCTGAGGAATCGAACCCAGGGCCTCAGGCATGCAAGGCAAGTGCTCTACCACTGAGCCACCTTCCCAGCTCCCCTGCTCACTTCTTTATGGTAAAAACATTCAAAGTTCTTTCAAAGTTGTTTTTGTTTGGCATTAAAAAAAATGTGGTACTGAGGAATCGAACCCAGGGCTTCATGCATGCTAGGCAAGTATTCCACCACTAAGCCACCTGCCCAGCCCCTCTCCCAGCATTTTGAAACATCAGTACATTATCATTCTTGACTTGGGTTATATTGCCCAAGAATGTGAGGAAAATGAGATTCAAAAATGGGGAGATGAATCTTTTGCTCTTTATGAGTCATTTGGAACAGTATTGGGACCTTGAATCTGAAGTAGCTTGTAGAGAGAATGCTGCTGCTTTGGGATGGTGATAGCATGGGTGTGGGGAACTGTCACACAGACCTAAGGAAAACTGTGTGTGTGTGTGTGTGTGTGTGTGTGTAGGGTAGCAACAGAAAGCTCCAGGATCCCTCTTTGTGACTTTTGTCTTTGTCTCCAGGTTCTTGCCAGATTGTGCCATAGCTTGTCTTTTTTTTTTTTTTGGGTCAGTCGTTGGGCCTGAACTCTGGGCCTGGGCGCTGTCCCTCAGCTCTTCAGCTCAAGGCTAGCGCTCTACCACTTGAACCACAGCGCCACTTCCGGCTTTTTTCTTTTTGCTTATGTAGTGCTGAGGAATGGAACCCAGGGCCTCGAGCATGCAAGGCAAGCGCTCTACCACTGAGCCACCTTCCCAGCCCTAGCTTGTCTTTTTTGCACCTGCTAAATACTTGAATGTCAGATGATTTAATCTCCAGTACATTTGTTTCTGTGTGAGTTGTTCCATGTTGTGACTTTCTGACCTTGTTTTTTTTAACCTTTTTAGGGTCCTTTCTATTTATTGTTTTGGTCCTGAGGCTCTGAATTCCTCCCAATATAGTGTCACCATGATAGGAACTCACAAGGTAAAGAGCTGAACGTGGGCTCTGAGCAGAGCTGTTTGACCTTTTCCCTTCTTTGTCTTCTTTCCCTTACTTTCCTCTTCCCCTCTATTCATAAATACTTGTGCCATTGAAACTATGTGACAGGCATTTCCTGAGCAAAAGTTTAAAAACATGGAAGATGAACTAGATCAGCGCAGCCTCTCGTAGCTCCCAAGCTTCATTGTTTGCATGCCTCCTCTGTGACTTCTGCCACCTTCAGCTACCAGATGTTATTTACTTCATACTTCGACTTGACTATTCATTGATTATATTCAGATTAGCTTGAACTCAGGGCCTACACACCTTTTTTTTTTTGTGTGTGTGTGCTCAAGGCTAGTGCTCTACCACTTGTACCACAGCTCCAGCCTCTCTTCCAGCTTTATTGGCAATTAACTGGGAACAAAATTATCCTGGGCTTTTGCTGACTTTGAACCAAGGTCCTCACATCTCAGCCTCCTGAGTGGCAAGAAGCTACTGACTCCTGGCTTACTATTTTTTGTTCAAGTTATGTAACCCCATTAAGGTTCATTTTCAGGCTCTGCAGAATGGGGTGACTAATGGTACCTACTTTTTTTTTTTTTTCGGTCATGGGGCTTGAACTCTGGGCCTGGGTGCTGTCCCTCAGCTCTTCAGCTCAAGGTGAGCGCTCTACCACTTGAGCTACAGCGCCACTTCCGGTTTTCTGGTGGTTTATTGGAGATAGGAGTCTCACGGTCTTTCCTGCCCGGGCTGGCTTTGAACTGCGATCCTCAGATCTCAGCCTCCTGAGTAGCTAGGATTACAGGCATGAGCCACCAGCGCCCGGCTAATGGTACCTACTGACTCACAGGATTGTGATGGAACTATGCAATCCGTATATCCCAGTGTTTGGGCACATTAAGAGCTCAATATTATTAGTAAGGTGAGTAAGATTATTGATAAATATTATTATTAGTGGGAAGCATACACAGTGAGCTATGCAGGGCCAGTGGGGAGTGTGCATTCGTTTCCTATGGCTGCTGAAATAAATGAGCACAAACTCATTGGCTTAAAACATGCACTCTGGTGGCCAGAGAGCTGAGATCAGTTTTACTGGGTAGAAGCTAAGGTTCAGGGCCCCGCTTTCTGCAGAGGCTCCTGGGAGGCTCTGCTTCACACTTCAGGTTCCGGTGATGATCAGCATGTCTTGGCTTGCTGAAGTCAACACCGTCTCTGGCCTGGGACATGTTGTTATCACTTCCCTTTTCTCTGCCTTTTGATGATAATACATGTTATTTAGGGCAATTTAGATGGAACCCCATCTCATGGTAGGTTAACCCCTAACCATATCACAAAGTCCTGTTGCTATGGAAGGCAACATAAAGGGAAATTTGTAGGCTGCAGAATTGAGATCTGAATATTGCTTCCCTTAGGAAGGAATGTCTAGGACACTCTTCTGAGGTTGTTGGTGGTAAACTGAGCTGTGAAGGTAGGCTAGGAATTACCCTGGCAGAGAATCATGGGAGAGATTTAAAGCAGAAAGCATTCAAGATGGACAGAGTAACAAGCCACGTCACAGAGTCACAGACTTGCCAAGGTGCCAGTGTGAATTTTTTTTCATCGTTTTGCTTAGCTGACATATTGCCAATTTCTTCTTTTAAATTCAATCTTTTTTTTTAAAGCTTACTTAATTTTTGGACACCAGAAAAACCATTGAGCAGGTCTTCTTCCTCGTTTTTTTTTTTGTAAATTAAATGTATTTTCAAACACGGTATCTCCTCTTTTTCTTTCTCCTCCCTTTCGGCCAGGCTAAGGGCAGCTTGGATGAAGTGCAGAGATTGCTTGAGTGTGGCCACAGATAGTCTCACAGTGTTTCAAAAGCTAGAATCAGCTGAAATCTTTGAAAAGTGGCGAAACATAAAGTATATAAATTTCAGCATATAATGTCATTTCATGTTAGATTTCACACTTGTGTAACAGAAATGGTCTGTCACTATGGTTATGATTGCAACTATTCTGTATGTCTACATGTTTTTGATTAGAGGCTCTAAGTGTACAATAGCATTTTGTTGTTTTTATGTTATTTTAAATAATTTTGTTGCCATTGTCATTGGTACCTAGATTTTTTTTTTTGGTGCTGGTCCTGGGGCTTGAACTCAAGGCCTGGCACTATCCCTGAGCTTTATCCATTATAGACTAGCACTCTATCACTTGAGCCATACCTCCATTTTCAACTTTTTGGGTGGTTAATTGGAGATAAGAGTCCCAAGGGCTTTCCTGCTTGGGCTGGCTTTGAACCATTATTGTCAGCTCTCAGCCTCCTGAGTAGTGGGGATTACAGGGGTGAGCCATAGCACCTGGCTTGGTACATGGATTTGAACTCAGGCTTTGTGCTTGCTTGGCTTGCTTGCTTTGCAAGTGCTCTACCATTTAAGCCATTTCTTAAGTCAACAAAAACTTATTTGTAATATATAATTTATAATCTAAATATATCATATTTATTATCTAAGTAATTTCCCAAGTCACAGAAAGTTGTGTACATACTCAGTTTTGTACTAGACAAAACTCATGTAAATTTCTTTCTTTGGAAGTATTAAGGTTTGAACTCAGGGTCTGAAGTTGCCAGGTCATTCTTTCCTAAGGAAAAATTCCTTTTGCTCATTGTAGACACTGTAACTCACAACACTTTTTGCTGTTAAATAGGGATTTGACCCGGTCACGACTCCATATTCTAACTTTAAGAGCAACTTTATGAAGAGGCTGTGGGCTCAGGTTCCTGTTGCCAGTAGCCCAATCACCTCAAGATGGCAGCAGAGTCCAGTCCAGGACCTGGCCTACGGGCCTCTCTGGGAGGAGAGTTCTACCCTGGGCCTAGAAGAATCTGTGGGGTCAGAGCTGAGGGTAATGCCTGAAAAGGACACCCTGACTCTAGGTGAGCCCAGTTTTGAGATGTGAAAAGGATGTATCCCTGAGATAATCTTTATCCTGCAGGATGGTTTCCCCCTTCTCTCCTCTGAATTGGAAATTTCTAAAACAGAGGATGATGAAATAAAAGTAAAGAAAATCTTGTAGCAAAAGAAAACTTCAAATTCATGCTTGTAATCCTGGCTGCTCAGGAGGCTGAGATCTGAGGATGGTGATTAGAAGCCAGCCCTGGCAGGGAAGTCTGTGAGATTATCTCCAATTAGCCATTAGAAAACTGGAAATGGCACTGTGGCTCAAAGTAGTAAATACTAGTCTTGATCAGGGGCAGCGCCTAGGCCCTGAGTTTAAGCCCCAAGACTGACCAAAATAAAAAAAATGAGAGAGAGAGAGAGAGAGAACAAAGAAGAAGAAAAACTTCAAAGCTGGGTGCTGGTGGCTCATGCCTATAGTCCTACATGATCACAGAGTGAATGTTGGTGACTGGCAAAGCAAGCGTCCTATAGAGATTTCTGGTGGAGCCAGCACAGTTTGGGCAGATACTCTGCCATCATTTTAAACTATTGAACTATTTCCACCCATTCTTTATATTCTTGCAGAAAGAAAGCATCTTAGAGCAGCTGCTGCAGCTGGAGTCATGCCTTTAATGCTGGAATTTCCTTCCTATTCTGAGGCTCTGAGGCAGTTTCTCATGAGTATTCAGGCATGAATCTAGTGTTGAGGATAAGGCCCCTGAGCCTCTCTTCCTCCTACCCTCCTTTCTCAGGGCGGGGGGAGGGGGATGGTGTGTGTGGGGGGAGTTAGGGATGTAAAGAGAACCTAGGCCTTCACATTCTGTTCTACTGAGAAAGATGCTATGGACAGATCTCCAATCAAAGTGATTATCTTGTTTTCAAAACAAAATTCAAGGCTGAGAGTCTTTCTTGCAGGATCCTATGAGGAACCACTGAAGACACCCGTCAAAGGAAGTTCTGAAACAAATAACTCTGCTCTCCACTTTTGCAATGAACCTCATGTCCTGAACAGAGATGAGAAAGAAGATGTTGACTCTAAAGGCCAGGTAGGTAGAAAGTTACAGCTGCATATCCCACAGTTCAAGGAGCTAATGTCTTAGCTTCTAGATTCTAGTAGTTCTCAGCAGTGATTTTGTTCCCAGGGGACATTTGGTCTGAGGCTATTTTCCATTGTTATAAACCCTGAGGAGGGCACCTTAGTAGGCAAAGGCCTGAGCTGTTTCTAAACATCCTACTATGGCCAGGACAGCCCCACCACAGTGTGCTACCTCTCCCAAATGCCAATAGTGCTGAGATTGGGAAACTGTACTTTAGAGTTAATTGTTCTACCTTGAATACATAAAAAAAACCTCGTGTCATTAACTGCCTCTGTTTGTTATAACATTAAGGGGAGGAAGAAACCAAAACATGAAAATGAGCCTTGTCACAGAGACCTCTGTCTGTGCTGGGAGATTCAGCGATGATTCCCACATAGGATTAAATGCATTGTTGTTGCTGGCTGATGGTGGCTCCTGCCTGTAATCCTAGTTATCAGGAGGCTGAGATCTGAGGATTGCAATTCAAAGCCAGCCAGGGCTGGAAAGTCAGTAAGACCCTTATCACCAATTAACCACCAGAAAACTGGAAGTGATGCTGTGGCTCAAAGTGGTTGAGAACTAGCCTTGAGCAGAAAAGCTCAGGGATAGCACCCAGGCCCTGAGTTCAAGCCCCATGACTGGCAGAAAAAAAAAAAAAAGCATTGTTGTGAAAGAGCAAAAAAAAAAAAAGCCTTCTCCACAGTACTCATTCATCTTGATGATTTGAGAAAGTTCCAATAAATACATTTTGTCTCATTCACTACTAATTTTCTTTTCTTTTTTTTTTTTTTTTTGGGTCCAGTGGGTGGGGCCTGAACTCAGGGCCTGGGTGCTGTCCCTCAGCTCTTCAGCTCAAGGCTAGCGCTCTACCACTTGAGCCACACTTTTTCTTTTTGCTTATGTGGTGCTGAGGAATCGAACCCAGGGCCTCAGGCATGCAAGGCAAGCACTCTACCACTGAGCCACCTTCCCAGCCCCCTCATTCACTACTAATTTTCTTAACTGATTTTGTTATAAATATACTCTCCAGGAACCATTGGAGTCACAATGATACACATGAAAATACAGAATTGTCTCAGCAAGACAAAACTGACTTCTGCAGAACCGTGCACTACCAGCTAAAAATCTGGCAAGCAAGCACACAGAGAAGGCAGGCTGCTCCCTACTTATCCTTAACACAGAAGGCTCTGCCCACTTTGCTCTGATTGCTTGAGCTCAGGTTCACAATCTGCTTGTGATTGGCTGGTTAGAATAGGGTATAATGTATTTACATAAGGTTACTTTGAAATATGTAATCTCAAAATAAACCTGTAGCCTCTGCTATTTCTTTTTTTCTTTACATATATATATATATATATATATATATGTTTATTGTGAAACTACCATACAGAGGGGTTACAATTACATGGGCAAGGTAATGAGTACATTTATCAAGCATTGTTGCCTCCTCCTTTGTTTCCTCTTCCCATCCCTTCCCATCTCCCCACCTTGAACAATCTGATGTGTGTCTGAATTCCATCTTGAAAAGAAACCAGTTGAAGACAAAACCTTACATTTCAAAAATACTTCCTTATCTCAAAGCAGTTCCTCAGCTTTTCCTTAACAAGAATTAAGCACACCATCAGGCCAAAGCAGGAAATTTAAGCAATACACTTTGATAGACAGTTTTTCTCACAATTTTGATAAAAGTTGGATAAAAGACTATCAGAACCATACATTATATATAGTTCAATGAGATAACAAAATCATTTATTTATGTTCATGGAAATTTAGGTAAATTACTTAAGATTTTGTAATTGAGTACCCCTATTTCCAGTGGGTATAGATGTTTTTATTCTATGAATGGTTTGTAGGTTAAGGAAATTTTATTTAGGCTAGTGAAATAAAAATTTTAGGGCTAGGAAGGTAGTTTAGTGGTAGAGTGCTTGCCTTGTATGCATGAGGCCCTGGGTTTGATTCCTTAGCACCACATAAACAGAAAAGGCTCAAGTGCTGTGGCTCAAGTGGTAGAGGGGTAGCCTTGAGCTGAAGAGCTGAGGAACAGCGCCCAGGTCCAGAATTCAAGCCCTATGACTGACCAAAAAAAAAAAAAAGAATTTTAATTTAGCTGATACCTGCCATATACAGTTGTTGAAGAAACTAGAAATTGTATGTATGTATGTATGTATGTATATATATATATATATATATATATATGAATAAACTGTTCATTACACAGTGATAATAATAAACCATAGCAATTAATTGTAGTATTGATTTAGTAATGTAGACTCTTTGAACTTTGTAGTCAATTGTTAGTTTTAACTGTGTCCATCACATCTCAGGTATGCATATATGTTTCTAAAGAAATATTTTCTATATATGTGTTTGCTTCCAGAAATGTCTAAATCAGCTATATTTGAACCAGCAGATGATCCAGCAAATGAGTGGGAAAATGCAGCGCTGTGAGAAGTCCCAATGTGTTTGGAATGGTATGGGCCAAAGATATTCCACGTGACCTTTCTTACCCTCTTGTCTCCCTGCCTCCTGTATTTCTTCTTTATCTGAAAATGCTATTAAAAATATTCGTTAGATTAAACCAACATAATTGTAAAATGTGGACAATTTGCCTAATCCTGTGTCCTAACTGCCCTCAACCTCCAAGGACCATTTTTGTGAGGTGACGACTCGTAGCTCTTCTGGCTATTCCCCTGCTATTGCCATCTATTTTCATTATACTGCTGATAAACTGCAATTCCTTGCAATGACTCCCTAGAATAGTAGATATGAACTTAGTTCTCTGCTTACTTTATTCTTCAGTTTTTGGATATTTTTATATCATACTTTAAAAAAGTGGGTTGGAGGGGCTGGAAAGGTGGCTCAGTGATAGAGTGCTTGTCTTGCATGCATGAGGCCCTGGCTTCAATTCCTCAGCACCACATAAACAAAAAAAAGCCAGAAGTAGCTCTGTGGCTCAAGTGGTAGAACACTCGCCTTGAGCTGAAGAGCTGAGGGACAAGTGTCCAGGCCTAGAGTTCAGGACCCATGACGGACAAAAAAAAGTGGGTTGGAGGAGTAGCTCGGTGGTAAAACACCTTTCTAGCAAGTACAAAGCTCCCAATTCAAACCCTGGTACTACAAATAAATAAACAAGCAAAAAAGGTACTAAGTATTTATATTATAGTACTGTACAAAGTCAAAGCCCTTACAGGTATTTTTTATGCTCTTTGCCAACTCATAACCCTTTATCCACATTCTAGAAACTTGTACTCTCTATTACTCACAATATTCACTTCTTATTTTTTGTATTTGTGTCTTCACACTTTAGAACAGTCATTTTCTTTCACTTTAGTAAGGCTGCAAATAAGAGGCAGAGGAAATAGCAGCTTTAGTGAGATGGCTTTGTGGCTGCATTGAGGAAAGATTTGAAGAAGAGGAAGTTGGAAGACAAGACTAGCTGTGAGGCCCTCAAGATTAAGTAGGTTCTTTTAGAAAAAGTTAAAGGTGGAACTGGAGGCATGACCCAGCTGGTAGAGTGCTAGCCAATGAGCCAAAGCAGCAGGTACTGAGTTTGTGTCCCAGTCTTAGATCTAAAAAAAAAGAAAGAAATAAAAATGTCTGAAGTATGACGTGGCTCCATCATATATTACTGGGAATCTGGGACAAGTTCTATCTAGTTCTGTATATGGGAGGTATTTCTTCATGCTTTATCCATATCTGCTTAAGTCTTGGAACTCTCACAGTGACTTTCAAGCTGGAAAGAACCCCAAACTGGAAGGAGCTGCTGGTGTGGTGGCAGTAAATTGGGAACATTTCGACAGCAATGGCCTGGAGAGGGACTCACCACCGATGGGTACTTTTCAGGAAGTTCCTTGTCCCATATTACATTTAGATGTTCGAAGTCATTTTACCCTGATCCCTGTGTGTTCTCCCTTACTTTCTTATTCCATCTTGGAAGTTGTGTCATTTATGGGGTTCTTATGGATTGTGAATTGGAATTCTCTATGAGAAACCTATTGGGAGAACCAGGGGTTCATTTTGTAAATATCAAGGAAACTTGCCTGTTGCATTTCCCTTTGGGATAATTTTGGTAAGTGAATCTATGGGGTTTATTTTCTTCTAGTCTATGGTTTGCTTTTCATAATTTTGATAGTGTCTTTTTTGTTTCTCAATTTTTTATTTAACTAGAGTGTTAGTGTTGTTAAAAAGTGTTAGACTTAATGTTAAAAAGGTAGTGTTAGACTTACTTTTTCACATTTTTGTTAGCAAATACTAGTTCTACAAGGGTTTTCCTTCTGAGAATTTAATATATACATTCATTGTACCCTTTTGATAGTGTCTTTTAATTTTTTGGTCCAGTCGTGGGGCCTGAACTCTGGGCGTGGGCGCTGTCCTTCAGCTCTTCAGCTCAAGGCTAGTGCTCTACCACTTGAGCCACAGCGCCACTTCTGGCTTTTTTCTTTTTCTTTTTGCTTATGTGGTGCTGAGGAATCGAACCCAGGGCCTCAGGCATGCAAGGCAAGTGCTCTATCACTGAGCCACCTTCCCAGCCTCTGATAGTGTCTTTTATAGAGCAGAAGTTTTAAATTTTGAAGTCTAGCTTAAAATTTATTCACAAGAACATTCCAAGTTATTTATTGAAATATTATGTGTCATAATGATTTTTGGATATTAACTTTATATCTTGCAACCTTAGTATAATCACTGATCACTCATTAGTTTCAGAAGCTTTTTTGCTGTTATCACTGGGATTTTTTAGCTAGAGACTTGTATGGGCAAGAAAAGTTACAACTCTACCCCTGATGTTAAATCTTTGGGTATTGATTTCTTTCAAAAATTGTTCACTATCCTTTATGGGAAGACATAAATATATCTAGCAACCTTGCAGCACTGCCAACACCTGCATGTGTGCATTACTGACACGGAGGCAGGATTTTATGAGTTACATTTAGGTTTCCTGGTGCTCTCATATTTTATCTGAAGTCATTTGGTCCTACCGACCAAAAGTCACGTGAGTTGTCTGGGTTCCTGTTGAATGTATCATATTAGTTTGACCACAGGTTGAATGGTTGAAGATGAAAAGATAGTGGCTTGTGGTTTGGAGTTGGTGGAGTCTTGATGAGAATTTAAGAAAGAACAAATAGTTCAAATGACTACAGATAGTCATGGGTATAATTAGCCATGTGTTCTGATACAGAAATGGTGAGAGAAAAGCTGACATCAGCAGATCAACAAATATTGAGGAGGATTCAGAGTAGAGATTTGGTCTGTCAGATAAGTATGGTGTGGTGAACATACAGATACAAAAATACACTGGTTTTAATATTCAAACAACAGAACAATAATGACCACTAAGAGCTTTTGCATATATTTAGGTCTGGTACTCATGTACTTTTTTTTAATTAAAAAGTGCCATTTAATATTCTTTTAAAAGTTAGTACTGAAGTCTTCTCTATTTCTTTTCTTCCTCTTTTATTTGTACTAAAATTTTATCATGATGAACATGTTTTTTTTCCCCACACTGTAATGTCTCTGGTGTGTGTGTGTGTGTGTGTGTGTGTGTGTGTGTGTGTGTGTGTGTGTGTGTGTGTGTGTGTGTGGTGTTATTGGAGCTTGAATGCAGGACTTTCTTTTGCTCAAGGCTAGTGCTCTGCTACTTGAGCCACAGCTCTACTGTGGCTTACAAAAATTATTTTATTGGAAAGGTGCTGTACAGAGGGGTTACAGTTACATGAGTAAGGTGCTTGCAGCTTTTTAAGTAGTTTATTGGAGATAAGAGTCTCATTGACGTTTCAGCCTCCTGAGTAGCTAGGATTGCAGATGTGAGACACCAGCACTTGGCTCACATTGTCATCTAATATCCACAACAATAAATATTATCTTTTTTGGAGCCATACAGATGTATACATTGTGTGCTTTTGTAGGCTGCAGAGACAGAGTCAGAGATGAATCTTTCCATCTTAAAAGGAGCAGCAATATAACCTATCCCATATACCAACCGGAGGCGAAAATTCATCTTACTGGTCTTCGAAATGACTACTGTAAGTTATTGTTTAAATGTGACCAGAGAAGCTGAAATGACAAAATCAAGTGCTCTGACAATAACTTGGAATTTGATTCTGGAAGACCCCGATGTGCCAGTGTCTCAATGTTATAGCATTACTCTGTGGTTAATGTAATTGGTTATTCCTGTGTAGCCTCTGTGTCCAGGAATGGGTGCTGGTGTGATGAGGCATGAGCATGGTTACTCATAAACACTTTATTTTATTGTGTTAGATGAAGCTTCATTAATGTTGGCATATTCTTATGCATGCGCTTTAAACATAGGCAAATCTAATCACTTGTTCAGTTATGATGTAGTATTAACACATAAAACTGATACCAACATCCCAATGTAGAATATTGAATATGTGAATTATGGAGCTCAGTGAGCTCTGGAGTTGACCAGAAAGATTCAGATATTCTCACTTACACTTGGTCTTGAAAGATGGGTGGAGGGGAGAAGAAAGCATTTTTGGTAAACTTAACAACATGAGCAAAGGCAGGATGTTGGTAATTATTGACAATGGCAATGAAGTAGACACATTGGAGATTAGTACATTGTTTCATTTTGTTTTTGTTTTCCCCCAATATTGAGTCTTGAACTCAGGGTTGGGGTGCTGTTTTGTTCAAGGCTGGTACTATACCATATGAGCCACTGCTCTACTTTGAACTTTTTGGTAGTTAATTGGAGATAAGAGTCTCACAGACTTTCCTGCTTATGAGAAAGAATCAGTGGAGGAAAGTTCATGGTGTTTGGCTAGAGCATTTTTTGCTCTGTGTCCGTAGAAATATGCTTTTCTTTTAACAAAGAGTTGTTATTAGCATAAGGTAGAGAATGCTGCTGAGAACTTTCACAAATGAGTCACTCTCTTTTCATGATATGCACTAGGTGGTAGTTGGTTAGAAATGATGGTGCCATTTCCTATATAAAATGTCCTAAATCGGGGCTGGGAAGGTGGCTCAGTGGTAGAATGCTTGCCTTGCATGCCTGAGGCCCTGGGTTCGATTCCTCAGCACCACATAAGCAAAAAGAAAAAAGCCAAAGTGGCGCTGTGGCTCAAGTGGTAGAGCACTAGCCTTGAGCTGAAGAGCTGAGGGACAGTGCCCAGGCCCAGAGTTCAGGCCCCACGACCGGACTCCCCCCCCAAAAAAAAGTCCTAAATCATAATGATCATCCATATTTAATTTTTATGTATATTTAGTTTTTAGTAATGTTAGATGATGTCCATGAGCACTAATAATGGTAGATGATTCTGCCAGGATTGTTAAAATGCCTCTAAATAGTTATATTGAGCATAAGCTATATGCATTATTTTAATTATGAGTCTTGGACCAGATTGTATGTTAGCTCTTACCTTACTATTATTTTAAGCAATACTGGAGTTTGAACTCAGGGCCCCATGCTTGCTAGGCAGAAGCCTTGCCATTTGAGCCAAGTTCCTCACCCTTTCTAGCTTCAGTTGTTCTTTTGAATAAAATGTCACACTTTAACCCAGGTTGGCCAGGACCATGATCTTCACCATTTATGTCTCTTGCATAACTGGGATAACAGGCACACCGACCATATCCAGCTTATTGGTTGAGATGGCTTCTTACTAACTTTTTGCCCTTCAACCACTATCCTTCACATTTGTAACACTGAAGTCGCTGGGGTTACAAATGTGAGCCATTATGCCTGGCCAGGTTTTTTTCTTTTTCTTTTTCTTTCTCCATTAGTGTTTGAATTGTGCAGGTCTTGTCCTATTGCTTTGCTTTTTGCTCCTGGCTGACACTTTACCATTTGAGCCATGCCTCCACTTCTGGCTTTTTGTTGGTTAATTGGAGTCTTGATGAGTTGTCTGTCTGGGCTAGCTTCAAATTGTGATTTGCAGAAGTTAGCTCCTAAGTAGCTATGATTATAGGTGTGAGCAACTGACACCCAACCTGGTCCAGTTTTTATTTTTGAGCTTCTAATGATCAACTTTGATGTATAGTATTGTTTTTTAACCATGGGGAAGTATTACTTTTTCATTGCTACCTAGAAACAAAAGTGTTTGTTTGAAAATGTTTTTATTTGGTATATACTTGCTCTAATTTGAAGTGCTTTTCTTACAGATCTGAATATCCTAGACTGGAATTTACAAAATCTTGTTGCTATAGCCCTTGGATCTACAGTATACATATGGAATGCAGAAAACCATACTGAGATTGAAAACATCGACTTAAGTCTCACCTGTAATTATGTGTCTTCTGTGTCCTGGATAAAAGAGGGCTCATGCCTGGCAGTTGGTACCAGTGAGGGAGAAGTACAAGTACCTGAATATTTCTTGTCTTTTGTTCCCTGTTGAATTATAGATAACTAGAACTGGCCTCTTATAGTTGACTTCTAATACACAGAGAAACTAGATTAGTTAAAGCTTTGGGAAGTGGAGAGAGATAATTTTTTTTCTGAATGGCATTTTATCAAGACTTAAAAAATACTCTCCTTAGTTTCTTTCTAAGTCTTCTGCTATGTTTCATTTGCTGTTGTTTTTAAAAAGATTTTTTTTTCTTATTGGGTGTTAATGGCTCAGACCTGTAATCCTAACTACTCAGGAGACTGAGATCTGATGATTGTGGTTTGAAGCCAGCTTGCGGAGGAAAGTCTGTGTGACTCTTATCTCCAGTTAATCACCAAAAAGCTGTTAATGGAACTGTAGCTCAAGTAGTATAGTCTCAGCCTTGAGCAAACAACTAAAAGACAGCATTGAGGCCCTGAGTTCAAGCCCCAGTACCAACACACACACACACACACACACACACACACACACACACACACACACTCTCTCTCTCTCTCTCTCTCTCTCTCTCTCTCTCTCTCTCTCTCTTTCTCTTCTCTGCCGGACACCAGTGGCTGACACCTGTAATCTTAAGCCAAGGGTAGGAGAATTTCAGTTCCAGGATAGGTGGGGCAAAAAAGTCCAGGAAACTGTATCTTGATTGTTGTGTATAGTGAAGACCAACTGTCATCCCAGCTATGATGGGAAGCATAAAATTGCAGCCCAGATTCACACCTGGGCTTGAAATGAGACCCTATCTTAAAAATAACCAATGCAAGCCGGGCGCTGGTGGCTCATGCCTGTAATCCTAGCTACTCAGGAGGCTGAGATCTGAGGATCATGGTTCAAAGCCAGCCCAGGAAGGAAAGACTGTGAGACTCCTATCTCTAATAAACCACCAGAAAACCAGAAGTGGTGCTGTAGCTCAAGTGTTAGAGCGCTAGCCTTGAGCTGAAGAGCTGAGGGACAGCGCCCAGGCCCAGAGTTCAAGCCCCACGACCGACACACACACACAAAAATAACCAATGCAAAAAAGCACCAGAGGCATGACTCAACAGTAGAGTATCTGCTAGCAAGCACAAGACCCCAAGTTCAATTTCTAGTACCATCAAAAACTAAAGTCAGGTTGGGACTTTGGAGAGAGGAAGATGAGCTTCCAGTTCTTTCTCCTGAAGGCGTGGTTAGGAGTAGAGCTATGTTAAATGAATTGTTAAATGAATGCATTTTTCCTGTGATGAGGCTGAGAAGAGTATTTATCAAGCTCCCATTAATCTACCTAATTTCTCACATATCATTATTGTTGTTTATTATCAGTAAACAGTGTGTACTTGATGATTTCGGAGTCCCAGGATGGCCCTTGCTACTTTTTCTTCACAGTGATGCTGATGCTGTGATGGTTATGTTATTTCTTCTCACACCAATCTTGTCCTTCCTCAAATGGGTTAGGGTCAGGATATCAGCTGTAGTTGGTAGGAAATGAGTCTCAGCAGTAAGTTGAATTTCAGACTCTAGGAAGCATTCATGCACTCCGATTTTATTCATACTGATTAACTAAAAACATTTCAGATTATGAATCCTTTTAGATTTTGGAGTAGGGAGATACTCAACTGATAAGATTCTAAGCCCAACCTGTTTGTTTGTTGGTAATAGAGGAAGGATTTCCAGACTTGAGACTCCCTTAGCTTAGAAGGAGGGACAACTGCGATGATTCTCATTTTCTTGCAGCCCACGGAATTCATCTGGAGAGCTTTAAAACAAATGCCACCTCCCCAGGCTCTCTCCTCTGCCAATGGAATCAGTATTGCCAGCAGCCATAGTGCTTTCTTTACAGGCTCCACAGTAATCTTACGAATTCTCAGAATACTGATTAGAGTCAAGGTGCTGAGTTTTTGCCTAGTTACTTGATAATTGGTTGTCAGGCCTTTGAGGAGACAGAGGGCTCTAAAGATGCCAATGTTACATAACTCTGTTCACTTTTTCAGTTATGGGACATAGTAACTAAAAAGCGGCTGAGAAATATGCACGGTCATTTGTCAGTGGTTGGGGCCCTGAGCTGGAATCATTGTACCCTCAGCAGGTAACTTAAGCCAACTCTGTGTCACCAGTTGACTGGGGGTGGGGGAGGTGGGGAGTGCGTGGTGCTGACTGAACCAAAACCAAAACCAAAAAGAAAAAGAGAACACCAGGACCTTGGGCTTCCACAGCTAATCGATACTAAGTAAAAAATGTAAACAAATCTTTGCAACTAGAAAACAAGAGTGGATCTATAGGTTAATAAGAATATACCTGCTAGAAAATGATAATGATAAATGACTATGTTTAACCTCCTCCTATAAATATGTACTAAAACGATCTCATTGAGATAGTATGAAATATTCCAAGTTGCATAAACTGCATTGTGCAAAGATCCAGAAGTCTTTTAAATATATCTTGAAACTCTGGCTGACAAATCTATTTTGATTGTGAAAAGAATGACCCAGGCAGAATATTCCATTCTATTAACAGAAGGGATTTCTGCTTGTTTGCAAACAGAAATCTTTTTAGTAGTTGAATCATATTTTTGCCCGTGTTTTCTTTCCCCTCCTTATGTGGCAGTGGGCTTCACTTTTCTGTCACATGACCCTGCCTCTTGCTCTGTGTTCAGTGGGTCCAGACTGGGACGTGTTCATCATCATGACGTTCGGGTAGCACAGCACCGTGTCGGAACGCTCCTGCACAAGCATGCTGTGTGTGCTCTGAAGTGGTCCCCCCACGGCAGGCTGCTTGCCAGTGGCTGCAGTGATGGCCTGCTGACAATATGGCCACACCATCCAGGTGCCGGGACCCAAATCCAGCCTCTGACAGTCATACCTCAATTCACAGCAGTTAAGGTATGAAATCCAACAGCTGTCCGGCTTTCCTCTTCATTATTTATTTATTTATTTATTTTTACAGAGACTATTAAAGAAAGCTTTCAAAGTTTTCTTCCTTCAGAATTGTTTCAGGTGTTGGTCACCACTGTAGGTCACTAAAATCAAAGTCAAACTTGAACTTAAGCAAAACCCAAAACAAAAATAGTGTTCTCTCCTGTAAACTGTGGAGTCCTGAATAGCTAAGCTGAAATATTGGCTGGATCTAGGGCCATGAGTAATGTCATCTGAAGCCTGCCTTTTACTTGTCTCTGTCTCTCCTTAGGGTGCTTTGTCCTTCAGACTCCATTTGGTGGGCAAGATGGCTCTTGCAGCTTCAACTTTGGTTCTCCCTGAGGGGTGTGGGATCAGAAGCCATCTTTCCTACTAGAAAAGTACTTGGGAAGATTTGGGCTGCCTTTGGTCACATTTCACATCCCTGTGGATGATGGCTACCAGAGAGAGATAGGCACTGTACGAACTCTAACATCTTTGTTGTCCAAGGTTTCCATGTACAGTGTAATTGTGCTTATCTATTGCTGAGAACAAATTAATGAGAATGTAGTGCTGTACAACAACACTGATTTTAATCTTTCTACTGTTTCACTGGGTTGAGACTCTGGGAAAAGCCTGAGCAATCATGGCTCAGGTTCTCATGAGATGCAGTATGGTGGCAGAAGGTAACAGGTCTGGGGCTGGACTGGAGCTTGCTGAGGTTTTAGCGTTTCTCATTGCTTGGAGTAGACTGGGCTTCCTTTACAATAGGGCTCACTTTGAAACAGCTGGAATTTGTGCACCCTGAGAGTTGGTCTGGTACTTTAGCGACCTTTTTAATTTTCTAGTTCCAAAGTCAGCCTTACCACATTGTGCTGGTTATGAGGTTCTCAGGAGTCCTTCTCCATTCAAAGGCAAGGAGATTACATTCTACTTCCTGATGAAGGGAGCAGGCAAAGTCTTATTAGATGATAGATAGATAGCATTACAGTTCCTAAGCCTATGCATGAAGTAATCAAACTCACACTTTGTGCAAATTATCATAAAATAGTTCTTTTTAAAGTAGTTAATTGAGCCACATCTAACTGATCATTTATCTTTAGGGACTAGCATTTATACAGGGCTTCCAAAATATTTATCCTAGTTTTTAATAGAAACTTAGTTTTCATCTTTAAGCCTAAACTGATTTTAATTAAATATTTCCATATGATTTAACTAACCCCACATCATAGTAAGTTCATCTGTTGTAAAAAAGATGGGAGCTGAGTTATGAGTAGGCTAAAGAGGTACTTGGCTTAATGGTGGAGAGCTAGCCTTAAGTAAATAAAGCTCAAGGGCACGGCTCTGTGTTCAAGCCATAGGACTGGCACCAAGGTCTGAGAATGAGGCGTAGTGGTAGAGTGCTGGCCTAGCATGCATGAAACCCTGGGTTCAATTCCTTAGCACCACATACACAGAAAAAACCAGAAGTGGTGCTGTGGCTCAAGTGGTAGAGTACTAGACTTAAGCAAAAGAAGCTCAGGGACAGTGCCCAGGCCCTGAGTTCACACCCCAAGACTGGAAAAAAAAAGAAAAAGAAAGAAAAGGACTGGCACCAAAAGAAAAAAAAAAAAGAAAATGGAATCAAAATTAAGAAAACCAAGAAACTATAGATATTTAAATGGGCCAAAGGACACCAAAAACTCAGAAGGAGGAAGTGTTAGGAACACAAGATAAAGTCCATTGTTGTTAATAAAGAAATATAAAATAAATCATCTGTATAATCTATTTCATAATTATAATTCTATTACATGCAAAATAACTTTTTATTTCAAATAACCGTTAGCCAGTAAGAAATGAGCATGATTATCTGATGCTAGTGTTGCAAAAACTTATAATTGTTTGGAAAAATGTTATAGCCATAATTGTGAAATTTACAATTTGCCTAAAAATTTGCCATAACCAAAATAATTGAATATATTAGTGTTTTTTTTTAAATAACAGCAAAGGAAGCACACAAAACTAAGAAAATTCCACTTTCCCCTAGCCACTCAACTGAACCCTATATAAACTAAACCAAAAATAAAATAAAGAACAACCAGGAAGAGTCTTCTTCATCAGGTACCTTTCTTTCCAGGAGTGGCTTTCAATTCCCAAGAAATGATATATATATATATATATATTTTTTTTTTTTTTTTGGTCGTTCCTGGGGCTTGAACTCTGGGCTTGGGCGCTGTCCCTGTGCTCTTCAGCTCAAGGTGTGTGCTTTACCGCTTGAGCCACAGTGCCACCTCCCCAAGAAATGATTCCTGAAGGGTGTAGCTTCTCCTGCTTTTGAATAGGAAGCCCAGGAGAGTTGCTAAGCTGTAGGCCTCTGGGACTGGTGCTTATTGGCGTACATCACATTCTTGAGCTCACCTTTTCCAAGTCTAACCTGCTTGTGTTGCTATTAACTTTAAAGGCCGTGGACTGGTGTCCCTGGCAGTCTGAGGTCCTTGCTATTGGAGGAGGAATGAAGGACGGATGTCTGCACATTTTGGATATAAAGACTGGGACGAGCATCAAGACTCCAAGCACAAACTCACAGGTAAGTATCTCTTCTGTAATCCACTTTCATCCCCACCTTCTAGAATCTTCTGAAAATGATTATAGAGCATAAAACCTAAGCACATCTCTCTCTACCTACTGACTCCATAAGAAATTTCAGTTCTCAAGAATTCCTTTTCTGTAAGCTCTCTTAATCTGGGAGTCCTAAAGTTAATTCAACTTGTATTTTGCTTCTGTTTCTATTTTTGTTTTTCTTTCTTTTTCACCACTGTTTTGTAAAACTGGTCTTTTCTGTTCCTGGCCAGTGATGGAAAATCAAATAAACTCATTATTTGTAACACCTGATTTGCAGTCCTGGTCCTTTGTTGTTTTCTTAGAACAAGTAGAATTCCAATATTACCAGAACTCCATCTGTGACTGGAGTATGTGCGTGGGTTGCAGGTGGGGGGGGTGGGGAGCAGAGTTTAGACAGAGCATACTGTATAGAATCAACTTTAATAAATTCACAATGAATCAGAACTTCTAAAATTCTGTATTTTATGGATATTATGGCAGATTTGTTCCCTAATCTGGCTACCTGAGACAAAGGCAATTGCAACAGGTCAAGGTGCTCCTAGCAATGACGTGGCTCTGTGGACCTGTCCCACTCTGTCCAGGTTGGCAGGGTTTTTTGGTAAGTAAATGTGTGAGTAAAATGCTGTGTCTCTGTGGCAGAGTGAGCTGTCATTGGTGGGAAATACCCTGAATGAGAGGTTTTCTATTTTGGGTTCTTTGGTGCACATGTTTCAATAGAGCAAAACGTCCTACACCCAACCTACCTCAGCTAATATATAGATGAGTGTTTCTGAATTTGATTTGATTATCACTGAAAATTGTCCTTTCTTCTCACATATGTGTATGGAGTATAAAGTGATGACTTGGAAGGTTTTTGAATTTGAGATTAGTGTCACACACGTTATTTGTAGAACATCTAGCCATGTGGAAAATGGAGCAGGGAAAGGGTCATAGTTTAGAAGGCCTCTAGAAGTCACAAGGTTCCTCTATGAAAACTGCTAGTCTTTCTTTTTCTCTCTTTTCTTTCTCTTTCTTTCATTCTTCTTCCTTTCCTTTCTCTTGCTTTTCTTTCCTTCTTTCCTTCCTCCCTCCCTCCTTCCTTCCCTCCTTTCCTTTCCCCTCGTCTCTCTCCTTTTCTCTTTCTTTCTTTCTTTCTTTCTTTCTTTCTTTCTTTCTTTCTTTCTTTCTTTCTTTCTTTCTTTCTTCTCCTTCCTTCCCTTCCTTCCTTCCTTTTTCTCTCCCTTCCTTCCTTCCTTCCTTCCTTCCTTCCTTCCTTCCTTCCTTTCTTTCTTTCTGTCCTTCCTTTTCCCTTCCCTTTCTTTTGCTTCCCTTCTCTTTCTTTCCTTCCTTCCTTCCTTCCCTCCCTTTCTCCTCTCTCTTTGTCTCTTTTCTTTCATTTCCTTTTCTGAGTATCAGATCCATGGTTTTGTGTATACTAAGAATATGTTCTACCACTGTGCTAATTTCCAAGCCCCATACTGCTGTCCTTTCTCAGTTTAATTTTATACATTTTTATTGAGTCCTTCTGGATAGAAAGACACGTGATGAGGGAAGGATACCTGGACCTTGTCTGGAATGTTAAAGGGGCCCTGAGGTGAGTGAGCTTTTTCTTTCCCCATTCCTGGGAGACAGGAAGATGACAGAGCCCTTGTATCCAGTCTTTTACAGAAGTCTGATAATGTATCACATCTTCCTTCTCTCTACTCAGCCTTGCCTGAGAATTTATGTATTCATTAATTATGTGAGCATTTATAAGGTGCCAGATACTTTTTAAGATGCAGGAGATACACAGGTAAACAAGAGAGATAGTACCCTTAGAACCTATATGTTTATGAGATGAAGCATGCAGAAAATAAATATATAAAAAATTAAGTAATGCTAATACTATGCCTCTCTTTGGAGGTTCTGAGAATGTTATTTGGCAATAAAATAGCCTGATAAGACACAGTTCTGGTCTCCTGTCAGACAACAACACAATGGCCTTCATGCTCTTCAGGGTCCTCTGTGGTCTGCTATATAAGAATCCATACAACTCCTGATAGCTGTTTTGGTGGCTAGGCACAAGTGTAGGAGAACATGAGCTGACTGTTTCTGCGTTTCAGTTTTTATTGTCACTGTTATTATTTTGACAGTACTTGTGTTTAGATTTAGGGTTTGGTGCTTGCTAGGCAGGTGTTCTACCACTTAAACCATGACCCCAGAAATTTACTGTTAATCAGAAGACATGGAATTCCCAGGAGCATTTGAGATTTGAGAAAGATTTGCAACCAAGCTTTAAACCCTATTTCTTTACATGATAACAATTTTAGTAGTTGTTTAGGGCCTTACCTAGGTGAGGGTGTTGGAGAAATACTAAAATCATCTGATACTTGGAATAAGATCAACACTGGCTGGGTAGTGTGGCAAACAATTGTAATCATAGCACTTGGGAGGTCAAAGCAGAATGATCATGTGTTTTGATCAATTGGGCTATATAGTGTAGCAACAAACATTCTTAGAGGTCTATTCTTTTTCCCCCCAGTATTATTAGAAAGGATTCCAAAGAATTCACTTAACTTTTTCTCATCTTAAAACATATGTAGTTGAGGGAGTTGTGGTTATTTTAGAGCTTGTAGGTACTCTGACACAGTAGTTCCTTCTGTTCTTATACAAAACAGGCCATATGGTCAGAGAAGTGTGGAGCATAATTTTAATATAAGGTTTAGGAAAGTGAATTGCACAAAAGATTGACATGCCTGGGACTTTCTGGCAGAATTTGATGGAAATGTTTGAGATTTCTAGAAAGAGAACTCTGAGTGGCAATTTTCTCCATGAACTCAGTACAGCAGATATATTAGTATTTTTTTCATAAGAGAATTTTGTGCCCGGTAATAGATAGAGGAAAGTAGCACAAATGCTCAGACAAAAGGGAGACTTCTCCTTTGTTTCCTTTTCTCAAAGTGAACCCTTACATTAATCGCTATAATTAGATTTGTTGACCATATTTTCTTATTATCTATACATATTTCCTATTTCTAAAGATTTACTTCTTGCTTTTGATCAAAAATTTATGTCTCTGTGTTAGAGTGGTTAAAAGGAACAAGTTTCCTGGGTAGATCAACAAAATTAGATTCTTTTAAAAAAATTTATGTATGTTTTTTATTGTAAAAATACAAAATTAGATTCTTAAAATGAGAAGAAACAAGGTTAAGATAACTTAAAAGGGTTAGTGCAATTGTTCTCTATTCTTTTAAAACAAGCTTCTTGCTGGGCGCTGGTGGCTCACGCCTGTAATCCTAGCTACTCAGGAGGCTGAGATCTGAGGATTGCGGTTCAAAGCCAGCCCGGGCAGGAGAGACCGTGAGACTCCTATCTCCAATAAACCACCAGAAAACCGGAAGTGGCGCTGTAGCTCAAGTGGTAGAGCGCTCGCCTTGAGCTGAAGAGCTGAGGGACAGCGCCCAGGCCCAGAGTTCAAACCCCACGACCGACAAAAAACAAAAAAAGAAACAAAAAAAAAACAAGCTTCTTTTCCTTTAAAACTTAAATTAAAAAAAAATAGTCAGTGGCTTCAATGGAAAAATAGATTTTTCTTCCTTCCTCTGGGATTGGAGTTTGGTGTAACAGACCGCTGAACTGAATCCTAGCTCTGGCTCTTCCATTAATTAGCTATGTGTTCTGTGCAAGCTTCTTGATGTCTCTAGCTCTTTCTTCATCTGTAAGATAAGAGAGCTGCGTTGTCTCTATGATCTAACCTTTATGTACCAACACACCTAAAGCCAATCTTATATCCTCTTTGGTTTGTCTAACTACAGTGTGTGTATGTATGTATGTTGTGCACAAAGCAGAGCATTAGGCGTGAATGTATGTAGATAGAAAAGCACAACATATCTAAGATACATCTTCAGGAGTGAAGTAGTGTCTATATGCGCCTTGAAAATCTTGTGTCAGTAGTGTATATCATTATGTCACAAATTCATGCTCTCAAATGAGTTGAAAGCAATACTGGTCTTAGGAAGAGATGACCACCTGTCTGGTTTAATTTTAGTACTGTCTCCAAATACCTTCCTACTCAAAAACATATTTTGTCCCTCCTCTTTCTCACCCTCCAAGCCCAGCCTCCTGTTTTTCTATTTGGGCCTGGAGTTTTGATTGAAGTCATTATTGGGTTAAACTAGGTTTTGCAATGCATTTTCCACAGAACACTAGTGAGTCCTCTGCCATGTTCAAGTCAAAAGGACTATTTGGACAAGTCATCTGAGAAACACTTGTGAATGTTTTGGAACCTCAACTCCAGAACATTTATTGTGTATATAGAAGTCGTAAAGCAAAGAAGTCCTGAGACAAGGAACCATGTTTAACTTTTCCTAATCTAGAGCTCTCTTTGTTTTTAATACCTAGCAACATCACATAAAGCTACTATGACTAGTCTTTGGAACTAGTCAATAAAGGGAGGAAAATTTCTCCAGATTTTCATAAACGAAACTTTGTGGTGAATTTTGGTGTCCTTTTTCATTAAGCTGCATGAGTTTATTTGGTTAGTTTTTAGGTCTCAAAGGGATGGCTTTTGGGGAAGGGATAGAACGGGTGGCAGGAATACAACAAGGACATTTCTTTGGTGTTTATAGAAAGCAGAACTAATAACTGTTGGATGTGAATGATGGTGTCGTCATCTGTGTCAGCTAAAAATTGTTTCCCAAAAGATATCCCTGTAGAACTTATGAGTATGACTTTATTTAGTCAAAGGGTCTTTGAAAATATGATTAAGTGAAGGTTCTTGAGATGAGATCATGGCTCTAAGTTCAATGACATAATTTCTTGTATGAAACACAGAGACAAGGAGGTAGTGTGACCATAGAGAAAGAGATAGGCGAAATGAGTTAAGGATGGCCAATATCTGCTAGAAACTGGGAGCCTTCCCTGACTTCATCTCAGACTTGAAGAGAATCAGCTTCTGCTGTGTTCTGCCACCCAATTTCTGGTTGTTGATTGGTCAGCTGTAGGACATGAATAAGGGAAGAAGAGAAACCCTGAGCCAATCTTAGCCACTGGATAGTGATGCCTGGGTTAACCTGGCTAGCATTAATGAGCACCACTCTGAACCCATGGCTATTGGAAGCCTATATCCAGAGATATGATTCAGGCCTCACTTTAGGTCATCTCTAGTCTTTAGCATCAGCCTTGAAGGTGAAGTAAGAACTGCCTTCCTTCTCCCCTCAGGCCACAGAGGCAGAGTGCTACACCTGGCATTGAGTCCTGACCAGACCCGTGTGTTTTCTGCTGCTGTGGATGGAACAGCCTATGTGTGGAAGTGTGACCAGTCACCCAGCTCTTCCTAGCTTCCAGTGTCGCCAGGAGGTCGTTAGCAGGGGGCACAGTGAAGAGCTCTCCGGTGTGCATGGCCTCTCTCCTCACTCTCAGCATGCTGTATGTGCTTTCTTCCTGATGTATCTCCCATAGATTAACTGAGACTGATTTCTTCTCTCTGCTTTCTTCTGTCTCCATCCTCTTCTTTACCCCCACTTTTTCTTCCACCTTTCCTTCCTTTCTTTCTTTCTTTCCTTCCTTCCTTCCTTCCTTCCTTCCCTCCCTCCCTCCCTTCCTCCCTCCCTCCCTCCCTCCCTCCCTCC